TCTGCAGATAGGGATCGTAAAAAAACTAAGCAAACAAGGTTGGAGACACTGTAGATATTACTTACTCAAACTACAAACCCCTATTTTAGCTCTATGCTTTTACCTAAAATTACATTTGATGGATTCAAAATATTAATTTGTAGTTTGAGTAAATAACGTCTACAGTATCTTCAGCTTTTTATTTTATATTTTTGCGATCCCTATTCGAAGGTTTTTAAATTCCCAATTTTTATTTATCTTGTGTGACGCTAATGCATTGGAACTCAAAACTTGTCAATGACCTATACATGGCTTACTTTTAATCTAATATTAAGATATTTTAGTAACTTATATACGACTTACATCAACTATACTAACTATAGTTTTAGGCCTGTCAGTAAGTTACATACAACTTAGAGAATTGAGGAAAATAAAAACAATTGTAAGTTATTATTTTATTTATTACTAATATATACTTGTGAGACGTACAGTTATCCTTGTTTTCTTCAATTCTGCAATTATGGAGTTTCACCAAATACCGATAAGCGTCTTATACAAGACTGAAACGAAACAGCGCTTAGCAACTCAAGTAATAAATGAAATACTTGTGAAACGTACAATTGTTTTTATTTTTCCCAATTCTGTAATTCTGGAGTTTCACTAAATATCGACGGTTTAATTAAAGTATGTATCTACAGTTTTCTTCTATTATACTATAAATTTATGTCAGCAATCTACACGTCTTACATCAAATATAGTATTGAAGTGTGTCAGCAATCTACGAGTCTTACATCAATTATGGTATTGAGATCTGCAAGTAATTTATGTACAGCTAACTTAGAATATGTATTGAGGTTTGTCAGTAAGTTATAAGCGACTTGTACCAAATATACTATTGGGCCTGTGAACAATCCACATAGGGATTACTTCATATATAATATTGTCTATCAGCTATCTACACGACTTACATCTTAATGTAGTATTACCTGTCAGTAATAGGTGCTGTACTACTACTTGGTTGAAAAAATCACACAAAAAATATCATGCTTTGGGTTTGTTTCACATTCAGTGTGAAACAGTGTCATTAGTGTGTGCGTTTTACGTTGAATGGTTGCAGGGACTTGATAAAAGTTCTGAAAACTTCATTTTTCTGTTATTATCACCCCTCCCAGTGGCACAGCGGTATGTCTGCGGACTTACAACGCTAGAAACCGGGTTTCGATACCCCTGGTGGGCAGAGCACAGATAGTTCCTTGTGTAGCTTTGTGCTTAATTCCAAACAAACAAACAAAACTCAGTAATAATTTTATCTATATTGAATCATTCCAAACTCTTCTGTGAAAGGTGATCATTTTAAATGTTATGGTGTTTATTTTTAGACCTTAGGAAACTAGCAATATCGGAATATTCCCTTTCCCCAACCCCCACAGCAAATTTCTCCGGCATTAGATTTATAGATCCCCGCCACCCTGAAGGACCATCTGTCACACTGTAGCCGTTTGAATTGCCAAGTCTCGATCTACCCCTCTTTTTGTCATTGTCTCAACTCTTCATGGCTCCACCGACTGGTTGTTCAGACACTCTCAAACATATCATGTCAACATAACATCTTCCATCAAACTCAACCAACTAAAATCCATGTACAGCCCACACCATCATCACGAATGGGGTTAAGAGAAGCAGAAGCTTCTGAGCACCCCTGGTACTCCCCCGAGGTTTCACTTTGGTGGATTTTTTATACCAAAATTCCTGCCACGATTTTAATTTGTTTTGCAATATCGGAATAATAAAAGGGTATATCTGGCAATCGAAAATACATTTAAAAGTTATTTTTTTTAGATAGATAAAAAATATGTGTTTATAGATAAGCTCAAAGTTATGCTAGATATTACTTTCGCGTAATCGTACTTTTGCTAACCGTTCTGAAGGATATATAATTCTATGTGAAGGACTCACCTGTAAAAATAAAAGCCAGTTTACTGTAAGTATCTGTAGACCTTGAAAGAATGATTTCCTGAATCTGACACCACTACAAAACCGTCTGATGTTACTGCTAGTCCTTGGGGACCATAAAGGGGATCTTCGTTAGTATTGACAAAAGACAAAAAGGATCCGCTACTGTCGAAAACCTGCAAATAAATTTAGAGTTCATAATTTAGTTGTTTGGTTAGCTTTGAGTTTCGCGCAAACTAAACGAGGTCTCTCTGTTCTAGCCCTCCATGATTTAGCAGTGATAGACTAGAGGGAATGCAGCTGGTCAACACCATTTACCGCCAACTCTCGGACATTTATTTTACTAACGAATAGTGAAATTGACCGTAACATTATTATGCCCTCACTACCAAGCCCTCCCAGGCCCCTAATTTAGTGTGTGTTTTTTTATCTGTTTTATGACAGGTTCTTTAACTTGTCATTTTCATTGCAAATGACAATCAGATTTGGTAAAATTGGCCAATATCATGTCAGGTTTATCATTTACAATGAACAGTTTAAGAATATTTGTCTGTAATCATGATTAAATTAACTCATTTATATCCAAAAATATTCTGAATTTGTTAAAATATGGTGATTGATATTTAGTATTTACCCCCCAGTGGCATAACGGACTTGCAATGCTAGAAACCGGGTTTCGATAGCCGTGGTGGTCAGAGCACAGATAGCCTATTGTGTTGCTTTGTGCTTAATTACAAAGGAACAAACGATTTTTAGTAAATTAAGACATATTATTATTATTATTACAATTATAAATGTAAGATTTAAAAAACCCAATTCTCAACATTTTTTAACCACAAGATACAAGAACCAGGGAGCTGTATAACAATTATTTATAAGTTTGCTGCAAAAACTTAATGAAGCGCATTTTGTTTTCTTTATTTAGGCCTGATATTACAAATCTTTATCAAACTTCAACAAGCGAGTCAAATCACAAAACGACCAAACGTTGGTTTTTGTAACCTTTCTCTTGAAGATTTAGTTTTGTAAACAACAGCAATATTTTCCCAATCCATACTGTTCTGAGCAGGGCGTAGTTAAATGGTTAGCTTGCCCAGGCTGTGGATCCAAGGGTTCATGTTTCGCGTTCTGTTGCCTCGAAAACACGCTCCACACTTTGGGGTCATGGGCGCACTATTACGATCACACAAAAGTAGCCCATGAATGACGGTGGGTGCTGTTGACTAGCTGCCTTCCAGCTTGTCTATCTGTTAAAAATTAGAAATGGCAATGCGCAGTTATCTCTTATGTAACTTTGCGAGAAAATTCTAAAAATACTAATATAAAAATATACTATACCTGAATTCTGCTGTTTCCCCAGTCAGCTACCAAAATGTTATCTTGTTTGTCCACAGCGACACCTGTTGGGGCATTAAACTGTCCATTTCCTTCTCCATTTGAACCAAAAATTGAGACAAATCCACCATCAGAGTCAAATACTTTGATACAATGATTGTGGAAATCCGACACTATGATCTGATTTTTACTGTTTACGGCTGCGTAATGAGGTCCAGCAAATTTAGTTGGACCGTTCCCCCTAGTGCCAAACTTGTACAACAGTTTTCCATTTTCTTGGAATATTAATACACAGCTTGCTTTGTTGTCTACAACGATGATGTGGCCGTTCTTATCTACCGCTACCCCTTTTGGGCCTAAAAGTTTACCCACACCCATTCGGCTAACATACTTTCCGCTAGGCTCAAATATACTTAATAGTTTATTTTCATAATCTGCTACAACGTAATTGCCATTAGCTGTAACAGCGACACCTGTTGGCCTTTGCATTTGACCAGGACCTCGACCTCTGATTCCGAAACGTAGCTTACACTCACCCGTCGTGGCGAATACTTGAACGCATTGGTTATTACTATCTGCAATCACAAATTTGTTGTCTGATGTACAGCAAACACCCTGTGGATTAGTAAATTCTCCTCTTCCGCGCCCTCTATTGCCTACTCTCATTACCAAATCATCTTCAAAGGGATAATTTTTACGCTGAGATCCACTGGACCTGCGACTGGATGGGCGTCTGGAGCTGCGTTGCCTGATTCCAGCCGTTCTGGGTATCTTGGAGCTTGTAGGTCGGTCACTGGAAGAACTTTCTTCTTCGACAAATGCCTTAACTTCAAAAGGACTGCCTTTGATGTGTTTTCCAAACAACTTGATAGTAAGTTTGTATACACCTTCTTTAGAAATACTGTAAACAAAATCATAGCTACCATTCTTCTGGTAAAATATTTCAGGGATCAAACTGACAGAAAGTTCAGGAGAGCTGATATCTGTTTCAAACAACATATTCCCATCTTTCACAATATCTCCACATCTGTCTTTAAGGACAACATTAACAAGAGTTTGTTTCCCAACAACACACTGTTTTAACCCTTCTCCGGAAGCTGTAGTTTCATAAGCCACAGCACTATTGGTCAGTATTTTTCCAAAATTGTTTAATGATTTCTTAACTTCTGTCAATTCAGCACCTTCAAAGACCATGTAGTCATTTTCTTCCGGCATATTCTGAACAGACATCTCGGAAAATTCGGAAATCTTCTCGGCCATCTGTTTGTTGACAAGGAAGATTTCAGTATCACTACCGTGGGTTAGTGCATTTTCAGTAAATTCACAGCTATTTGTAAGATCGCTAATACAAAATTCCAAATATTCTTTCTGTTCCTGTAAAACCTGTTGTTTTAACCTATGGCATTCTTCCAGTTCATTTAACAAAAAGGACTTCCTCAACTGGATAAGTTCCGTAACAGAATCTAAAGTATAGCAGATGTTTTTAGATATTTCAGAGTGCTTGTCAGAAAGAATGAACGACAAGGCGTTTACGGAGTCCATAGCCTCCTTCAAAGCTGGAATCTGAGAGTATGCTTTTTCCACAAGGTTTTTTAAAACCGCTTTTTGCTCTTCTACAGCCTCGCGCATGCGTGTGGTATCATGCCCGCCGTGTTCAATGTCTGTGCAAGTGACGCAGATAGCAGTTTCGCATTCACGACAATAGAATCTTAAAGTCTGGCTCTGGTGTTTCGGACACATCAGAGAAGGGTGATCCTTAGACATTTCATGTTCCTCCAGTAGAGCTAATTCGTTCAAGGAAATAACTTTGTGTTCACTGGTAGACATTTCCTTTTGGTGTATCCTGCTACATGGATCACACAAAAACTGATTACATACAATACATTTGAAAGTTCCAGGAACTTGACTGTCACAGACTTGACAAGCTGTAGGCTGACCTAAGATCTCCATCAAATTTAAGATAAAGAAATTATTTTGAAGTCCAGACACTCCTTGTTCTGGGAGTATAGACTGCTGTCGACAAAGGGGGCAAGTGAGAGTTAGACTTTCTGCTGGGATGTAATTCAGAAGACAGTCTTCACAAAAGGTATGCAGACAGGGAAGAACCTATAAAATAACATTTAAGAATATCAATACATTGAAATACTGATTGACTAATGTATAGTTTATTTTACAACTGATATCTTGATAGCGTCATTTATGAAACAAAAAATGAATTTCAATAGTAAATGCAGCAAACTATCAAGTTCAATTTAGATTCACCCGTACCGTTAATTGTGTTAGAAATCGAATATTAGAAATACCAATCATACATAATAATATTATATGTTATATTCAATATAAAAGAAACATAGGTTGTTAAAGGTCGTATATAATGATATAAATACTTTTGAAAGAACGGAGTATGATGTCAATAATACTGATAAAATGAAAGAACTGCAAAATAAAAATAAAATTTGACTAAATACTTTTATGTTTCTCATAGGCTCTGATTATGTTTATGCATATGTTCCATGAGGTTGATAAATGGAATATAAGAAAATCAGTTATTTCAAGGAATATACACACTATGTTTATAGTATTACTCGGTGATTTATGGCAAAGTTTTTGATAATATAAAATTTATTGGAAAAACAAATCCTATTAGCATTTTCCCCATGTGTATGAATAAAATCGTTTGATGTCTAAAAAAGTAAAGTCCAATAAGGATTCAGCTATTTCTATTATTTCATTTATATTTCTTTTGTTTCATATTTCTTCACATACTTTTTCCTTTTTAAGGCGGTTAGCACTGTTTTTCCAACTAGTAAATTGGTTGTGAAAAGCTTACATTTGACGTAATTTAATTCTTTTTATCCACAGATTCTTCTTGGACAAACAAAAACTTCATTGGTTTAAGTTATCACATGTTTTAGAAATATTTAATTACCACCAACTAGTAAAGTTAAGATTGCTAATATTTTTTAACACACACACACACATATACCGTTAAAATATGCAATTGATCTATAAACTTTGTCTTATTTCTTATTTTTAAACTGTTTTATAGTAATAAAGAAAACAGCAGATTCTGCACTACTGTTAGAAATATTATTTTACATCATGAAGAATTTTGAAAAGTTTGTTTGTTTGAAGTTAAGCACAAAGCTACACAATTGGCTAGCTGTGCTCTGCCCATCACGGGTATCGAAACCCGGTTTCTAGTGTTATAAGTCCGCAGACATACCGCTGTTTCACTGGGAAATTCTGTTAAAATACGCATATTATTTCAGTTACATTTTTTTTTATATTCATCACACCACTAGCCAATTGGAATAATATAATCACTAGGTATATTTAAGCTTAGCAAAAATACTACCTTTGGATTTGTGTATCTGTCCAAACAGATTCCACACTTCAGAAACTGAGAGTCAATCTGACGCACCACAGGAAGGGCAAGTGCTTCCAAAGCCTCTCCAGATGACATGTTCGACCAGTCTTCGGTTTCTAGAATGGGTTCTTCGTATAATAGACTGAAGCACTCCTGCTAAACCACCAGTTAGTAAACTGCATATATATAAGTGGAACTACAAGAAACTAAAACTTATCCACACTTAAGAAATTATAATAATAACAAGGTTATAAAATGGTAATCTTTAAATTCTTAATACAAGCAAAAGTGCATAATGTGAATTATTATCCATAATGCTATAGAAAAAACAACCGAAACACGTCCATTAAACATAAAAACACGTTTATCTCTTCTGTTATTAACGTTATTAGTCGTTGTAAAAACATAATATTAAAGTTTTGGGCAATATGCTTACACTTCGAAATACAACAATTTTTAGAAGTTACACTTCTTCCCAAATATTAAAAATAAGTAACTACGTTTACAAACAATTACTTTTTAAAATAGTAGAACTCAAAATAAAACTTCGCGGAACTAAGATCAAGATTAATACTAAAGAGCAATATGTGCATAATAACTCACTAATAAAAATGTACTAAGACTAACTATCTTAAAAGTTCTTAACTGTCTCAATTAGTACACCACTTGTTATCGAACTTACAAATATAGCCTAAAAGTTAAGGGTGAGTTTTATTTTTACAGAAATTGTAAAAAAGTTAGCTAAGCAGTTCATGCATATGTATAATAACACAATCGTAAGCCATGAGACCTTTCGATCGAACTTGTGTTGCGTTATTAAGAACAAACTCAACAAATAAAAACATACAGTAACTTAAAAAACACGTAAAATATGTGAAATGCTACTTGCAAAAATGGATATTTTCAAACTTATAAATTCAAAATATATTGGATAACATAAATGCCGATGTTACACAGTAGATAATTGTTTTTGGCATCAAACTTTTTGAACAATACAATTACAAAGCAGATGAAATTGTTTCATCGAAAATACTGTAAGCAGGTAAAATAAATGTAATAGCGTTTTGGGGTTAGCCTTCTTGAAAAAGAAAAAGTGTAGAAAATAAGCTACCGTATCAACCTATCAGAGTGAAATCCTCAGACAGAATCTGCTTCATAAAAACTATACTCTCATGGCATGTTCAAATTCAAATATGCAGAAAATATCAGAACTTTCACTATATTGGAAAAGTTTGATAAAGTCGGCATTACATTTTTTTTTATTCCTGTAAACTCCCAGTGGAGCATAGGGCTGCAACAACACCTCGCCAACGGAAGGTGTTGCAGTTACTTGGGACCAGGCAAAGGCGGAGGTTTGGCATGTTTGGTGTGACGGGGATTCGAACCCGCGACCCTCAGATTACGAGTCGAGCGCCCTAACCACCTGGCCATGCCGGGCCCCGCCATTACATTTACAACCACGAAAATCAAGAATTACGTTTACTAGAGTTTCAGTAACTCGTGAATTTTAGGCATAAAATATGTATAAAACAAGAACTAACTAAAGAATAAAAGGAAAAGTATTTTGGGTAAACAAAAATTGGTAAGGGCATATATAGTGAATCGACATATATATAAACTAAAATACTTTAATTATTTACAGAAAATACCAGGGGCGGAGGTAAGGAGACGGGCTTATTGGGCCTGAAACTACCCCAAAATGTACCTTAGCCTCCCCTGTAGACCCCACACCCAACAATCAATGCTTACTATTAAAGCTGACTCACTTTCTAAACACTGCATTACGTGTGCATGATGTTACCGAAAATTAATCGTTTTCGGGATGGTATATTCAAAATCTCAGATCATAAAGATGTGTTCAGATTGGGGATTTAGAATTTGCAAGGCTGGGATATCCCCTTTACTTAATGACATTGGAAACCAAACGAATATGGGTCAACTTAGGTCACTTGGACATCACAGAAAGTGACAATCAATAAGTCGTATCCTCATCATTTTCCAAGTGCCCCCCCCCCCTCGCGGAAGTCCATGACCCTAACTGTAGTAAACAATATTCGGCGTCTTGTAACAGGTGAGATTCCACGAAGACAAAGGTCAGTGGCAAAAGCTGTCCACGTACCCCAGATAACACTAACAGCGTACAACATATGAAGAAGATTCATATCCTTTCAAACGTCGCATATATTTCACGTAGTTATTTATGCTACTAACAGAAACGCTGGCCAAAGGGCGGCCGTTTGTGATAGCTCCTGCGAAAGGCGTCGTTGGGCTTTCGACCCAATTATTTTACTGTGACAATCTCAATCAATAGAATATAAGAAATCTTTATGACCATTTTATTAGTGACCAAAGAACTTCTTGATATGTACAACATTGCGAGTTTTATTATCTGCTTCTTTTGTGAGTATGAACATGTTATCAGGTGATCCAGTTTTTGACAATGCTACATATATCATACCATGTGTTAAAGCTTCATTATGTGTAAACTTTGGGAAGAGTTTTGTGGACGGACGGACATTAGCCTCTTATATATATATATATATTGTGAGTTTTACTGCAGCTAATAGTTATAAGTTTCATCAGTAGATGGCAATACAGACGTATTTTATTAAAAACTGTTCACGCTGTTTTATGGTGTTGAGTTACTTTTGTAATATATAGTAATTGATTTATATTAGGTTAACTTATTTGTTACTTAAACAAACCTACGGGCGGCTGTTTGTGCTAGTAATTATTAATCGCACTATTCACACCTCATTGTAAAAAAGTGAAAATTTTCTAAAAAAAATGCTTTTTTAGAAGTTTTTTCTTGGAAGTACTGCACGTGAAAAATGTTCGGATTGTGCTCTTTAGTCATATCCAACATTTCTTCCAAGTTTAAAGCCTATCCTTGTTGTTGTTTCTGGCTTATTTATCTTTATTATTTCAGACACATAGATAGATATCTAGACGGTCACGCCATTACTCCACTATAGTAAGATTCCATGCGAAAACATATAGATACCAGAAACAATATATTTCTGTCTGTGCGATCGTGCTGTTTAAATGTATGTGAGAAACCGTCGTTCTCTTAAGTTAGAGGGCTTATGGTAAGCGCACAGAGAGGAGGGGAGGGGTGTCCTTTAGATATGACAGTCTTACAACGTAGCCTTTTGCAAAGGAAACTACGCTGCAGAGCTATTGATGTGTGATTGTCAGACAGAACATGACCGAACATGCCGACATGGACTTTAACCCATTGACTGCTGATTCGCCGTTTAGGGTACGTTCCGCCTCCGGCAGTTGAATTCGAGTGTGCAGTATACGGTGTACGACTCGCAAAAATTTCGCACTCGTGTTAAGCAGCCGCAGCCAAATGGTTAACAATGTTGAAAAACTCCAAAATCTTTTTAATATAACGTACTCAACCTCTTTACTATGCTTCATAGTGTCTTGGCTGTGAGCGTAACCTTGCCAAAGCAGGTCACATAACAAGACGTCGCTTGTTTGTTTGTAATTAAGCACAAAGTTACACAACGGGCTATCTGTGCTCTGCCCACCACGGGTATCAAAACCCGGATTCTAGCGTTGTAAGTCTGCAAAAATACCGCTGTGCATGACGTCGCATCTGCCTGGCTATGTTGGCAAGTTGTTCTCTGCCTCCACTTTCATATCCTTTAGATTATTCTCTATCTCTTGCTTTTCCACGTCCCCACTGTTGCCCGTGCTTTCTCCTTACGTTATCTTTTTTCTGACTGTGTCTTCGTACTCAAGTGAGAAACCCGAAACCCATCTCTTTTTCTATCTCCGAGATGCCTCTTAGCCACACCCTTTCGCATAGGCTATTTATTCACTAAGCAGTGGAGATACCCATGGGTGCAGTTATCCTCAAATTACAGTTTTTATACTTTTCACTATCGGTGAGGTTCACATATATTGCATCTCATTGACTAACTTAATATTTCTCCTGTTACAACAATAAGCGTAAGAAACAGCCTCCCACCAACAAAACAAAACAAACAACAACAAAAACACATACACACAAAGAGGGTGAAATCTTTCATTTTCTAATGAAAATACTTAGGACTCCCAGGAGTAACTAGTGGGATTAACTGTAATATAGACAATATTTTTGTTTACATTTCTTCGTGTGGCTTATCTGGCAGTAGAAACCTTCTACCTAACAAAGTCATGGACCCACAAGCAGAGGTTAAAATAGGTTACACTAGCCCGTGAGTTGGCTGTAGGTGGTGTTGATCAACTGCCTTCCCTCTAGTATATAACTTCGAAATTAGTTTGGTTATCGTAGCTACCACTAGAGTAGCTTTGCTTGAAATTCAGTAAACATCATCACCCAACAAGTCACTCGGTAATTTATCACGCCATCTGTCGACTCATTCCTCTTTCTTTTAAACTTTAGAGGTTTCGGTTTTTGTGATCTCGCGCTTTTTTAGATGAATCACCTCCACGTTTATAAGTTCATAACCGTATAGAAACCTTTACATAATTACACATGTAACAAAGTTCAATGATGGTTATGTTACTGTGAATATTGTAAGGAGACCAATCTTATTGTCTAACAATTTGCTGAGGAATATTGTTGACAAACTAATCAATTTCAATATGCTCACAGAACTGAAACTCTTAATAGAAAGGTAAAAATATTTTTCAGACAAATTTATAAGTAAAATATTCATTAAAATGTAGTGCAAGAAGGTAATATATTGATAATAAATATACTCCCCCCCCGTAGCTCAGTGGTAAGTCTTAGGTTTTATAACGCTAAAAATCGGGTTTCGATGTCCGTGGTGGGCAGAGCACAAATATCCATTGTCTAGCATTGCGCTTAATAACAAAGAAAGTTATGTATATTTATACTTTTGAGTGTTCTAACTACTCCTTGATATATATATATAGAATATGATTCTATTTTGATTAATTGTACTTCAAATCCAACATTATGAAATTTTTCGTTGCTAGACTTTTCTAATCCGAGTGGTTGTTTTTACAGCAAAGTCACATTGGGCTATCTGTTATGTCCACCCCGGTGGAATTGAGTTTCGGATTTTAACGTTCTAAATCTATAAAGATACCGCTGTCCCACCGAGGGACTTCGTTTCCGAAGAGTCTACTTTTGATGTGAAAGTAGGCTTTGCAGTAATAAATCAGTATACACGAGTATAGTTATCATTAAGTATTATGTCTTTAAAAAGTAAGCCAAAAAATGAATTTTTATTTTAAGCATTCTTTTGATTTTAATTCTAGTTGTTTAAAAAAATGTAAAACTTGTAAGCAGTTTTGAGCAAAACATCATGCTCCCCAAAAATGTAGTCACGTGACTGCTATGTATGCGTAAGTATATGATATTCTAAAGCTTTATTTTCTTGGACTTTGGACATCGAAGCTCGTAATAAGCAAGGACGAACAACGAGACATTTTCATATGTTAAAAACAAATTAGTCAATGCTGCAAGGGCTAGCAAAATCGCTATAGTGAATACTAATTTGCTATAAAAATACCCCAGAGGGAGTACACAGAAATATTAAATTATCATTTTTTCAGAATGATAAAAAAGTATTATGACAGAATATTCAAATGTCAACGTATTTAACTTTTTTATGTTCGACATCAACATATTTAGGAAGTTAAAATATTTCTATCTGTATTTGAAATATGAAACTATATAAATTTTTAATTGTTGTTGAACAGTTTACACTTTCCACCAAAGCTGGTACTTTATTCTTCTCTTCCTGCCATAGGTTTAATCAGAATCTGATTTTTTTTCAAGCATATTTAGCTATAACAAGGCGTAGTTCCCGATAAAAAAAAAGCTAAGATAGATAACTACAGGTTTTCTTATCTTTATTATTGGAATCTGTGGATTTCTAAATTAACATATCAGTGTTTGTGCAGTTCCTATTCATTTGGTATTATGTAAAAAAAAAAAGCTAAGATAGATAACTACAGGTTTTCTTATCTTTATTATTGGAATCTGTGGATTTCTAAATTAACATATCAGTGTTTGTGCAGTTCCTATTCATTTGGTATTATGTAAACATCTATTTGATTTAGAGAAATAACAATGACAGATAACAGTCTTTAAACGTTTCCTGGCAAAATACGTAGAATTAACTCTGGACATAACATTTAACAATTCGGAAAACAAAACAATTACTTGTTTTTAATATAAAGGAAATCTCAACGTTACTGGAAACCAGTGCAAAGCTTTTTATGCTAATATTCGTTTTTTTGTTTTTTTTTTCACTTCTAGTTAATCTATTCCGCGTTGGGAAGCTAGTTATATCCACTTGAAACGGCATCGAGTAAAAGCCAAAGGTCACATTTATTAATAGAAGTGTTTTTTGAAATATTCACACGGCACACTAGAGTACAACAGCATGAGTTGTATAAAACAAACGTGACAAGTGTGCATTTAAAAACGTTCATTTTACATCGGATATTAAGTTTTTCCATAAATAATATTCTAAGGGCATATACTACTATGTTTTGTGAAGCAATCAATAATACATTAATTTTTTTTATAGTTTTAAAACGATTATTGTACCCTCCACGGTTTCTCCCTTGGTATATTCGACTTTACCAACTGCTCTTCTTTCTTATAACTTAATGCCAACACTTGTAGTGGATTATCACTTGAGAAGACTTATACTCGCAAACGTCCAAGGTGTTTTTTCGTATGCCATTCAGCATCATTTACTGATATACAAAACTATATTCGTCTTAGCGTCAACTAGTGGAAAAGTATTTCAGCCATAGGTCTCTGCTTTCTTATTGTTGTGTTACTCGTCAACTTCACGGAAATATAAAAACTATTTAATATAATTGCTAACATTTTTAAAAATATATATCTAAACGTGAGTTTAACTTCCCTCAGATATAAGGACGAAAAACTTTAATTGCCCGATTTGTATAGTTAGCGTTATTGATCAATATTTATAAAGGGGGGAAACCATTTTAAGACATAAACAGGCTAAATTATCTTATTATGTTATATTTAAGACATTTTTATTTTTATTTTTTGTTCAGAATACCAAGAAAAAGAGCAGAGTTACATCCGAAACTTGAAATTTGGTAACTACGTTAGACACTTTTCTGCAAACACCAGATCTTATATCTTCTGGGAATGATAGCCTCTGAGACGGAATCGGATACCCGCAAGATCTCAAAAACTGACGTGAATGTACAGAATACGAATCCTGATGAAGAACTTATGTATGAAACGGGATGGCCATCATTATCTAAAACCTCAGAAAAAGAATGGCTTATAGTCAGTTCCAGACCAATTCCACAAGTCGTTCATCAACTCCAGTCTTCTAATTCAGATAGATTACTAATAACTGAAACTCCTTCAAGCGCGAGCATCTTCAAACGTCGACTTGGTCTAATCCTTGCATTATTGTGTGCCTTTTTGGGCAGCGTCAAGGGTTTGATGGTTAGCGAAATTAAAAACATTGGGCCAGTCGAGATATTTGGGTTGAGAAGTGTGGGCACTGTTGTCTTTCTCCTACCCATTATTATCATTCGTAGCCATCAAGTCTTGTATGACTGGCGCACCAATCTACAGCTTACAGTACGTTCTGTGATAGGGAATATAGCAGTAGCAGGGTATTACTTTGGTTTTGCTTACCTTCCTTTAGCTGACGCATCTTTGTTGTTCTATAGTTTGCCTTTATACACAACAATTATTGGTTGCATTTTTTTGAAAGAAAAATGTGGGGTGACAGAAATATTTTGTGTGATTTTTTCTGTCGCAGGTGTCGCTTTAGTTTCTTCTCCTGCCATCTTTTACGAAGGAGATGCGTCAGAAAACAATGCCTATAGCAATACGGGAGACATAATAAAAGGCATTATGGGAGCCTTAATTGGAGCCATTGCGCAAGCTGTGGCCCTTGTAGTTCTTCGGAAACTTAATACTATACCTGCTATGGTGGTTAGTTTTTGGTGGGCAGCAGTGGGCATTGTGTTAAGTCTTATTATCGTCATATCTTCAAGAAATTTTCATCTCTGGAAGTGTGGAGCAGAGAGTGCGATTTTATTCTCTATAACTATCGTAGGATTCGTCAGTGAAGTAATTCTGGTAGTATCTCTCTACCTAGAGCAAGCTGGAAAGGTCTCTATCGCACTTACATCAGAAATTTTATGGGCTTTTGTTTTACAGGAATGTTTTCAACAAGAAACCCCAACAGTTCTCAGCGTTATTGGAGCTATGTTTATCGTCTTTTCACTCATTTGTTCCAGCGTTCAGGATATGGACCTCAAGCGGCGGGTGCGCCATCTAGGGTCAATGTCTAGCGCTATCCTCATGACTAAAGCAATGGGCTGGTGTTGCCTTGATCCAAGCCAACGGGAAGAGGAGATTAACACGACAAAACAGGGAGAGAAACTTATCGACAAAGATTTAGTTCTTAAACAGCCTTTTCGAGCGTATAACACAATAGAAAAGGCAGCTTGAAGAGGTATTTATCTGATAATAGTCCTCGAACTAAGGAAGGTCTTTCCTTCTTCTTTAACAAGAACAAGTCATAACAATCGGTTACCTTTATGGTTAGAATAAAAGCAAAACGAAATGTTTCAGTCAAATATATATAATATCAAGAAAGTGAAAATTTAAGTAAAGTATGTGTTAAGCGATGATTAATATAAAAAATTAAACTAATTAGTGGCGTCTTACGAGTATTTAAATACAGTGCTGCTGTACCAATTTAGACTATTTTGAAAAATCACGGATTTAGTGTTTTCTACAACTTTGTTTAAATATTAAAGTTATGTTCCCGTTTTGCTGTTGCGTTTTAAATGTTTTATTTAAAACGTGTGCCTCTCTCTGTGGGTAATTTTTTTTGAAAACTTTATATATATAATGAATTTGTTTGTGTTAAAGTAAATTTAGTTTTGTATCACTAACAGTTTGTAATAAAATAACTTATAATAAACGATTTTTTGATCAACCAATTGTATCTGATATGTTACGTATCTGCTTGTTTGTTTGTCTCCGGTAGAAATTCTTTCCGAGGATCTTCAGCGATACAAGTCCTTTCTTGATTAAACCAGTTTATTCTTCCTCGATACAAACTTTTTGTACACAGTAATTCCCCAGTCAGTACGTTTCTCGTCACTTCAAACTTAACAACTTTTATAATACACGCTATAAATCACAGCGATTCACAATCTCGATAATTTCGCTCTCGACGAGTGTAAAACACACACACTTTACGGCTCACTAGCTCGAAACTAACAGAATCATAAATTACACGGAACTCAAAGTAACTACTGCTCTCTCATTCATCACCTTGCTGGCTTTCTCTGCCAGGCTTATATACTAACGAAGAGGGCATCTCGAACACACACAGACTTCCCCGATCATTTGAGAA